CTTAGAACACTTCCAATTCTCTTCTGTAAGATTTGTCTTCAGCTTTTATGTTTTCCCTCCCCAGCTACAAAGCCAGTGTTCTGCTTCCCAGTAAAAGGCTGAATTTCTATAATATGTAAAAAATGAGGACGTGTTATACCAGCTTGTCATCACCAGAGAAAGACTCAAGTTTAAGAAGAAAAGCAGAGGAAGATGCTCTTTCTGGTTGCAGCATTGTGCCAGTGTGAGAGCACAGGCCATGCTGAGATGGGTGTGCTGAGGGTTTTATGGCCATAGGCTAGAGTACAGACTGAGCATGGACTCTGATGGAGAGATGCACGTATTGAGGATGGTATTGCCGTGGATCTGAGTACAGACTGACAGAGCATGGACTCTGATGGACCATAGACTCTGCTGAGATGAATGTGTTCAGGGTGGTATAGCCATGGACCCTAGCGTAGACTCTGGAGACAGCTTTAGTGCTAGAATCTGTTTACTGCCAGGTCAACCATATAGCAAGGACAAACCAACTTTACCTCTGCATTCTTCTCTACAAAATGGGGCTAATAAATGACAGGACTAACCTCATCAGATTAAATGAAATCAGCTATGTGAATTAGTTTAACCAATCTAGTGTTCACTGCAGTGTTAAAAGTATGCTTGACATTGTTTTAGACTAATCAGTATTTGCTGTCTCCTCAACTGGTCAAATCATAGTTTGTTTTTGTTTTTCTTTTTTCTTTCTTTCTTGCTAAAAGGAGCAAGCCAGTAAGAAGCATTACTCCACAGCCTCTGCGTATTCTCTTGCCTCTAGGTTCCTGCCCTGTTTGAATTCTTGTCCTAGCTTCCTTCAATGATGAACAGTGATGTGGAAGTGTAAGCTGAGTAAACCCCTTCCTCCCCAAGCTATTTTTGGTCATGGTGTTTATAACAGCAATAGTCACCCTGACTAAGACAGATGGCATGCTGTTTCTCCTCTCAACATTGCCTTACCACCTTGGGATGCTGCCAACTCCTGACCTAATAACAAGACCACTCAGTCCCTTTGCTAGAGTGAAGACACCAACCTCAAAGTGACACCGCTCACCTGATACACCCTCAGTAAGCATTAAGATTGAGATCTAACCCTCACAAAAAGCACTGTATTTTACTCAAATGAAGGGTCAGGTTTCATCTGTGTAACTCCTTGAACTGAGGGCTATTCTGTGTTAATTCTCCACTCATCAAGTCAGTTTCTTTTCTTCCTATTACCTTCCTTCAATAAGATCATAAAAACAGTGCAGCATATGGGAGGAAACAAGACTTTCTTTGGATGGTGACTTGTGCGTGAGATTGTGTGTGTGTGTGTGTGTGTGTAATTTGTTTAATGTTTCTTATCGATTGATGGGTTCAAGGCAAGCCCAAGTCACTATGACATTTTTATGGAAATTCAAAATTAAATGGAGCTATGACAAGGAGCCCATTAGCTAAAAGGCAATGGTCCCTCCCCTCTCCTCTTTCCCTACCTTCTCCCCTTTCCTCCCACCCTTCTTTATCTTCTCTTCCTCTCTTTTTTCTCTCCATCTTTTCTGTCTTTTTTCTTTCTCTTTCCTCTTTCTCTTTCCCCTCCTCTTATCTCTCTATCCTCTCTGTCTCCTTATTCTCTCCCACCTTTTCCTTCTATTCCTGATTTCTCTCTCCTTCCCTCTCCTCCTCCCCACCTCTTCCACCCAGGTTGTTTTAAAGAAATCTCCCTTTGGATCCTTCCCATGATTGCTCTTAATAGACCAGCCTGGGTAAGAGGCAGTAAAATGTTCAGATTACAGAATTCGGAGCTACAAGAATACTGGTGATGCATCCCTGTAAGGAGATAAACAATACAACCCAACAAAGCTGAATATAAAAGTTGTCTGGATTGCTGAAGATTAAAAAAATGTTTTTTAGCAGCAGTCCAGCAAATGCCGCGTAATTGGCTTCCTTGACTGTGAAGATGAGCGTTATGATGGAGATCTTGTGGAAAAGACCCTGACTGGCCCTGTAGGCTGGAACCTATGGATTGAAAGCCATCTACTGCCATGTGGCCTAGGACATGGAGGAGAAGTGCAAAACTGAGTGGAGGTGAAGTCAAGCTGTGTGTGCCCCGAGTTTAGAACTGGGTCTCTGTTCCAAGAACAGCACAGGAGGAGTGAGTGAGCCTGAGATGGTAAATTATCGCTAGAACACCATGCTGTGCCTTCTGAGAGAGGCCAGAAGAGATCCGCCGTGTGTATCCAATAAACACATGCTTGTAGGAGTCAGTCTTCTGTGAGCCATGGGAGGACTAGAAAATCCTACAGCCTAGGGAAAGGGCAGGGGATGGAGTCCCCAAAGCTCATGATTATAACCTTAGAACAGAGTCTCTCTGCTTAGGATTCTCGATGAAAGACCAGCAGCTGGGCCCACGCTGGCTGAGACAAGGGATGAAGACTGTCTCTGAGGAAGATGAGTTCTGGAAGCAATTTGCTTGATGAAAGTTATTGATTATGTGTCACTTAACTTCCCGAGTCCGTGCTAACAGGTCTCCATTCTCCTGATGGCAAGCTCACACCACCCTCATAACTGGTGTTACAGCATGTTTCTTTCCTGTGCACAGTGGTCAAACTAGGATAAGAATTGGCTACTTACAGGCTCCTGATGTGTTGGTCTGTGCAGAAAGTAAGATTTTGTCCCAAGGAGTCCCTGGAATTGGGGGGGTCCACCCCTCTCAATTATAGAAGTTGGGCTCTCTGGCCAGTACAGATAGTTAATTTTCTATACTCTATACTCAGCCACTGGTCATTTTCAGGGAGCAAAGACTGAGCTCTAGCCTGCCCAGAAGTCTCTGGGTACCTTAAACCAATTACAGCTCTTCATTCCTGTTACAGATTTCAAAATGTATCTGGGATAATGTCAAACAGCATGGAGAATGGGCTTCACTCTTCAAATACACCAGCAGTGACCTCCTTACCCTCAATTTTCCCTGGATGTCAGCACACCCCTCCACTGAGGGAAGGAGTATATAAATTTAATCTGGTTGTTCATAGCAGAGTTGAATGGAGGGATGGGTCAGTTGTCACTCTGGGCATGACAAGCTCATAGCCTTGTCAGTATTGGGCAGTGGAGCACAAGCCACTTTTAAATTCATCCACATCACCAGAGGAAGGCAGGGAGGAGTGGAGGAGTCCCCACAGGCTTAACTTCCTTAGAATGTCTTGCACATGCTGGAGAGGCAACAAATTCCTAAATAGTCAGCATGTCCAAGCCTGTTGATAGATTCTTATTCATCCATTATTTTTAGGAGATGAGGAGAGGTTTGGCAACTATGGCTTTCCATCTCCCTCTCTTCAAATCTCATGACACACGTTTGCCTAAGGGAAGCAAGACATGATCCATGAACCAGCAACAGCCCCAGGTAACCCAGGGACATGTTATAAATGTAGAATTTCAGGCTGTCCCCGACTCAGCGGCCTCAGTCTGCATGCTAGCCAGGTTAACCTTCCCGCATATTGACCATGCTGTCTAGAACATCTAGCTCAAAAATTTGTGGCTCCATTGCGGTAATTTTACTGAACGTATTTCTGAATATAAACTTTTTCAGTCAGTTCAGCTGGATGTAGTTTCCCACGGGGAGAACTTCAGTTTCCTCAACCTGGCAGTTTCAGAATATCATAGAAACCAAACACACATTGAATGGGAAGGAAATAAAATTCATTATCTCTTAGGTTCAATTCCTGATTTTTTTTCAGGCTCAAGATCAGTGTTGTTTTCATGACTCTGTTTCTCTCCCCCCCCCTCTCTCTGCTGTCTACATAAACCCAAGCATTCTACAATGTACTAGACAACATTTAGATATGGCAAATGCTTCTCCTCTTTGCAACATCCCCTCCCTTTCATTTCTCTGAAAATTATTATCTTTGCTATAGATATGTGTGCTGTTTTTCTAGAGAAACTATTGCCCTGACCAGCAGGGCACAATGGGATTTGAACCCACAGGAACCTGGAATGAATGAGACAAGAAACACAAGAGAGATGGGCAGCAGGACACACAGAGCTGTCGTTTAATGAGAATTCTGTATAGGCTTAAATAGGAGAATGTGGCATTGGCCACAGGGCAGAGGTTGTTAGACCGGAGAGGCTGGGAAGTGAAGCAGGGGGCTGTTAGAGGCAGGGAGAGTTTGATATGTGATGGGCAGATCTCATCAGGGAGTGCAGGTGTTACCAAAGTATGGTTAGGTGATGGGTTATCTCTGTGACCATTTGTTGTAAGGCACCTGAGTTTTGGGAAGTACCTTGGGGTAAGAAATAGATTCAGTGGCCTGGTCCCCAACATCTCCTCCCTTACTTTTTATTAATGAAGGAGAGGGGTCTGGAATGTAGGTCTGAGAATTGGTAGAGAAATAGGGAGTAGGTGTTAGTTATTAGGATCTTAAGATGGCTTTTTATGATGTCCTTATAGTAGGGCTCTTATAGGTATGGAATAAGGAGGCCATAGGTGGAGATATCCTTGAGGGGGCTGTGCCTGTCTTAGGTCAGGGGGATTTCATGGACCAGGGGTGTTTAAAAGCCTCTCCCTGTCATTGGAGATGACATCATATGATGAATATTACTGTCTATCAGCTATTCCTGCGAGTCCAGGTTTAACTCATAGGGGGCTGGGGAGGGGATGGATTATTCTTAAAAAAGACTGAGAGCATTTACAAGAGGTTCTAAATAACAATGATCACTCCCAACAAATTATGGATAAGGTTAAAAAGTCAAACCGACTAACTACATGAGCTTTCTAGATTCATTGCCACCTCCTCCCTGCCCCACCCCACTCACAATCAGCATGCCTTTTCCAAGGATGACATCCATATAGCATGAAGTGAGGACGGTTGCACTGTGCTGTGTCATCCCTTCATTTACAAGAAGCTAATGAGGCTGAGCTCTGGGCAAAAGACTGCACTGGAGGTTCATTAGCTCTGGGGGAAACAGAGCCGGGGAGTTTATCCGGAGTCAACTTTTGAGCTCCTTTCTCTTTCCAGTGTGTCTTTGCTCCCCTGCCTTCTTGGTGACCAAGGTCCTGAGCATGGACTACTCTACCGGATTCTGAAACCCAAGGAGTCATCACTGTCATCCAGTCAAACACAGACTGAAACCCAATGAGGAACAAGGCTGAAATCTCTAAACAGAAAATGAGCCAGGACTGAAGCCCCAGCCTCTGTGTGGAATAGTGAAGTAAGTGTGGGCTTTGGAACCAAAGCTGCTGAATTGCAGTCTTGATACTTCTTTGCTGATTTTTAAAGATGCGCAGCAAATTTCTCGACCCTGCTAAGTCTCTTCAGAATGAGATTCTAAGGACCTTTACTGTGATGGCCGCAGACATACTTCCATATCAGGATCCTATTAGGTATTTAATAAATACTGATTCCACCAAATTGATTTTGAATACCGTTTAAAAATCAGTATGAAGTAGAAAAATATGTACTACAAGTAGCTGAAAGTTCTGAGACAAACATCAAAGGTGTACACATACACACACACACACACAAATACACACACACACACAAATATGGAAAAGAATTTTATAACTTTTAAGGGTAACATTTCAAGGATCTACCATGGTTTTTTCTTTGGATTTCAAACTTAGAGAAATGTGCTGCTCTTCTACAATAAATTTACAAGGGTGTATAATGTTTGTATAGCATATATTTATAAACAATCCATATTAATCTGCAGTCACTTTCTGTATGAAGACAGAGGTTCACAGTACAATAGAAGTACTTTAAACAAATAGTGTATGTCTTTGGATAAAGAGGATGCCAGACTTGCTTAGCCCAGCGCTCCTTAAGATTATTTTAGTCCCTTGCTTTTTAATAAAATGCCTATTACTATCTTAGCATAATTCAACTCAAAGTCGCACCAAAAATCCTTGAATTTCTATAGAGTCTCTGTTTCTACTATTTGCAAATCACCTGTAAGTGTCATGCCACGCAGTAATTTTAACCATTAATTTCTTTTTAATTTTATGTTTTTAGTTAGCATACAAATGGGTTTCAATATAGTATTCTCGCGCATACATGTCATCACACTGTGTTCTAACTCAGCCCCTGCACCACACCCTCTCTGGCTGGTTGCCTTCTTACCAGAAAGCAGTGTTCCTTCTGCTTGCATGCCACATGTATTCCATCCCTCGCTTCCCCTCCTCCTTATCTCTACTCCAGCACCTTTCCCTGCTCACAGTCTCCTGTCTGCTTTCACCACACACACACACACACACACACACACACACACACACACACACACACACGCACGCACGCACGCACGCACGCACGCGCGCGCTTAAATCTAGAGCCTGCACACAAGTGAAAACATGTTGACTTATCCTTCTGGGTCTGGTTTATTTAACCAACATAATGATTCACTTGCCTCCATTTTCTTGACGTGTTACCACTTCGTTTTCCCTTACAGCTTTAGTACGGTTCCTTCTCGTTTACCATGGTCCTTTATTCACTCTCCTAGGCAGGTTTCACTTTTGCAGGTTTCACTTTTCTGGCGGCGGCGGCCGTTGAGTAGTCCGACTATAAACATGGATGTGCAAGTATCTCAGTAGGGTGTTGACTTAGAGTCCTTCAGGCTTATCCCCAGGGGTGGTACAGTTGCAACAGTTGCTCTGTTTCTGGTTCTTTCAGGAACCTCTCCGCTGATTTACAGTGGCTCCGACAACAGGGAATAAAGGTTCGTCTTCCTCCACACCCTCACCACGATTTGCTGTCATTTGTTGTCTTAGTAATATCCATTCTGACTGGGGTAGATGGAATCTCAAGATGTTGCTGAGCACTTTTTACTTTTTAAGGCATTAATTTATTTGCCTTTCTTTTGGGAACTATCTATTTAGCTGACTAGCCCATTTGCTGGTTGGGTGGTTTGGTTTGTGATATTTACTCTTTCAAGCTCTTCATATAGTCCAGATATTAGTTTCCCATCTGATATGTAGATAGTGACAAATTTTCTCTGGATTCTCTCTCACTCTGCTGGCTGTTTCCTTGGGCAGAGGCCTTTTAATTCCATGAAATTCCAGTTGTTAATCATTCCCTGCACTCTTGGTGTCCTTTTTAAAAAAGTCATTCCCAACGCCTTCACCTTGTGGAAGCAGTTTCAGAATTTTAGCTTTGTGTTAAAGTCCTTAAGACATTTTGTGCAGTATGAGATATGGGCCTGGTTTTATTCTTCTGTAGATGGCTGTCTAGTTTTCCCAGCATCATTTTCTGAAGGGGATGCTTCTTGGTTTTTTTTTTGTTTGTTTGTTTTTTGTTTTTTTTTGTTTTTGTTTTTCGATACAGGGTTTCTCTGTGGCTTTGGAGGCTGTTCTGGAACTCACCCTGTAGACCAGGCTGGCCTCGAACTCACAGAGATCCGCCTGCCTCTGCCTCCCGAGTGCTGGGATTAAAGGCGTGCGCCACCAACGCCCGGCTGGGGATGCTTCTTATATGCATTTTTGACACTGTCAAAATTTGGTGGTTGTAGCTGTGTTGGTTTCTTTCTGGATTCTTTCTCTTTGCTCTGTATCATTTGTCTTCATGTAGTCATTTTTAATCTTTAAAATATCTTCTAAAATGACTACAGAACACAGATGGAGTTGCTACAGTCCTGTTCACACTCTCGCCACTATTCAGACACGTTGTCTTCCCCTCTCAACCTCTTCCAACAGTTTCCAGTGTTGACACATTTGGTACATTGTGGGTTCACAATGGCATCCCACTGCATTCCTCAAGGACATGAGAATTAAACATATACATTGTGGATTCAGGTTCCTTGATCCACTTTTCGCCTCAAGGCATTGAGGCTGCCTGTTATAAGAAATGCTGCAGACAATGAACAGGGAGCCCATTCTAATCTCTTCAGCAGGAGCCCAGCTTTTCTGAAATGTGAAATATTCACCAGTGATTTTTGAAATTCTGACAGATCTCATTTTAGAGGTGACCTGGATTCAAGAAGCTAAGCCTCTCCCATCGATAACCCCAAATTCATCCTGGCATCTCTGCCAAGATGAACATTTCACAAGGAGTGGAATTGTTTACCAATGACTTCTGTGCCCAGGTTTGATATCACCCAAGGGTTCAAAACTTAAAGGCATCTTAGGGAACAGAGTTCACTTCTGAGAATGGATTGATAAGCATGGCTGATCCACAGCTCCAACGGTTTCTTCTTAGGGATTCCCTGATCCTTGTTTTGACACTGTTGACCCTCGGGATGGCTCTTGGTGGGCAATTACAGAGAGTCATGAGAAGAAGAGACTGTTTTTCAATTCAAATAATATGGGCCTGGCTGGAGGTTGAAGGCTGCTTATTGGCCTCTACTGTTGAGCAACTAATGAAATTAATTTTTAAAGAAGAGCTACAAATGAAGTACTGAATTCTCTCTGCAGTTTTGTGGCTCACTGGGGTATGAATGAGGCAGCCGTTGGTCTGCAGAATTTCCCCCAGGAGATTATTCTTGCATAATCAAGAGTAGATGGAGCAGACATGATAGTCTCTCAAAAGAAAGACTGGCAAATGCTTGGTGTTGTTTATTGTTGTGGTGGTAGTATACCCAGGGAACATGCCACCAAAAGTCCACAACAAGCTCCCTGATTTCTTCACAGCAAAGTTTAGTCACTGAACCTGAATTCAGTATGAAATTGAAGGACCATGTTCATTGCAAGGTAGTTATTGATCTTTAAATGAAGAGATATAAATTCATGACCACTAGGGCTCAAGAAGTCCTGCGAAAAGCCTCCAACCTCAGCTCCTCTGGTCACCAGAAAAATGACAGAGGGCTGATTAATAGGGGCTTCAGATCACACAGAAGGTGTCATCCGTCACAGTGGTGATTCTACTTCTCTTTATAATATTATTGAGGATAAAGATGTTGTTATTACCCATGGTGAATGGAAATAAAAAGGGCTGGCTGGATGACGCTACTGGTAGTACAGGTGACATAGAAATAAGATGCTAAATGGGCAGGATAGTTCCGCAGTTATTAGATTTCAGCCTCATTCATGAGAAAGTAAGACTAAGTTAGAACTGTTCAGAGCGGGGCACAGATAAGACTACTTTCCGGTAATAGATTTTCTTTAAGGGCAATGAGATTACACAACAGCAACAATAAGAAAGCCTAAGGAAGATGATACAGAGTCTGCTATCTGACTCTAAAATGAATTGCTGGGTAAGTCGGTTATCCCCTGAATAAGGATTTGTTCTTGTCAGGTGCGATTACCCTAGTTTATAATTCCTTACGTCACAAATTATTTGAAATGGGTTTTATGCCTGCAAGAGAGCAAAACTTCCTTTTAGGCCCAAACTAGAACCCAAACCAACGGGTAAGCAGGGCTGCTGATGTGAGCCGGTCCGTGTTTCCTTCTACCAGTACCTACTTGCTGGATTCAGATTCAACTTTCATTATTCAACACAGTCTTATTAAGAACTGACTATGTGCCCAGGTGTCTTTCTGCTTGAATATTCAGAAGTTAGCCTAAAGACAAAATGACATGTTTAAAAAACAGAAAGACCTATGGTTTGTAATGGAAGGAGAGAGAAGATGCCTGGTCTCAAGCTCCAAGAGAAAAGTAGGTCACAGAGAGTTATGTGAGAGTCAGCTCTCTTAGGCTACATGGTCAAGAAACTTCTGGGTCTAGTAGCACAGCATAACTTTCAGTTAACCAGTGTTCAAACAGACAGAGAAAGATATTGCTTCCATGATACTGTATAAGGACACCATGGAAATAAGAGAGCCATGGCGAAGTATGGCTAAATATCCAGAGACAGATGGGGGGGGGCAGGGAGGGAGAGGGGAAAGAAGGAGAGAGAAAGGAGACAGAGAGGTAGACAGAGAGACAGAGAGAATAACAGGTACATGAGCTAATGACCTGATGCTTCCCCTTTAGGGCGTTTGCAAAATCCAGACATGAGAAGTAGTAAATATAATCCCAGCAATGAACCTACTGCTCGTGACATTGGGCCCATCATGTTTCAAAACATTATTTGAATCTGGCATAGCCAGATTGGAGATTTGAGGGTTCTCAGCTACTTAGTTGGGTTCCTCCTCAAATTTTAAAGTTATACAAATCTTTCATGCTAAATATTCACCACCTCCCAAAAATCAGAAAACACCGTGCCAAGAAGATAAGAATTAGAGGCTATCACCTTCTAGAATCTGAGCCCTGATAGTTCACAGGAAAAGCAGCCTTCAAATATTTGTATTCATCTAACCACCCCCAGTCTTCCTACTTTCTCCCCCATCTCAGGTTGTTATAGCAGGGTAACAGAGGTCCAGAATGTCATCAGACGAATAGTATCAGGTTCTGTGGACTTGCCACTTTCTCAGTGTCTCCTCATCTGAAAAGTCATGTTAACCAGTTCTATAGTTCTGGTTCTAGCCCCCAGCCTACACCAGATAAGGATAGGGTAAATGCAAGAGGTATCCACTTACCAAAAGCAGAGTCAGACGGACAGTCCACAGACATGGGTTCAGTCTGGCTCCTTGGTTCTGTGTTCTACTGGGAAAAGGATGGTTTTATTAGTAGATGAAGAAGAATGCCCCTGCCAACTATGAGCTTCCAGGAGCTTGGAAAGTGGACTCAGGCAACATTAGCCTGAGGCAGGGATGGTGTGGACCCCATGCCATCTTCTAGCCAGTAGTCAGATAGTGAGAAAGCCATGTTGTGTCGTGCAATGACTTTCCTCCCATCACCTCCCAGGTCTTTAGGACTCTTAGTAAAGGTGTCCCCTGGTCTCTGCTTTGTTGTGGAGTCCAGGGAAACGTCTGCGCCTGCGTCTGTCACTCTCCTCACCACATCAGCTGTGACCCAAGCAAGATTAGAGACCTTGCCCAGCTGACCCAGGCAGAGGCAGGTGTAGACTTTGACACAGCAATAAAAGAGGATCACCCCTGCACAATGATCTCAGAGTCACAGAATGGAGAGAACCCCAAAGAATAACAAATGTGTAGTTAAGTCATTGCAGACTGCTTAGAAACTGAGATGAAATCTGACTTCATCCCCAGAAACAGAAAAGTAAAACACACCACTGACATGATGTTGAGCTCCTCAGGCACATACACTATAGACACTGAAGGAAGTAGTCACACAGAGTATATGTGTAGCTGAGTCCTCAGGCCAATACACTGAGAAGTCGGGGAGACTGTGCCAGAGAATGCTGAATAATAAAAACTAAAGAAAAGTAACCAGGTTGTTTATGGTATTTATGCTGTGATTTCAAAGTGCTAATGTGTGTATAGGGGGAGGTGTGTGTGTATGTACATATATATGTACGTGTGTGTAGGTGTATATGTATATATGTGCATTGTATGTGTATATATAGTCATATATGTCTGTGTGAGTATGTGTATATAGAGCATGTGTATGGATGTGTATATATGTATGTGTGTATATGGATGTATATTTGTGTCTATAAGTACACATGTGTATATTCATGTATGCACATGTATGTGTGTAAGTATGCATATGTGTATAAGTGTATGTTCCTGTATGGGCACAAATAATATTCAAACAGCTCTAATACATACAGCCCTTTACTGTGCTGAGCAAAGACAGCAGACAGAAAATGGTTTAAAGCTTTACTTGAAGAGAGCCATGAGTAACCAGCAGTAAGGCACTATGCCTTTGTACTGCAATCTCTGGGAATGCTGTCAGGGATAAACGGCATAGTTAGATCTTTCCTTAGCCCTGCACATATTCCTTTCATGTGTTTTTTCATGATTCACTGTCTTTTAGGGGTTCCCACCTCCTACACTAAAACACGGAAGAGCTCTCTAACACGCCCAAGCATGGCTAAAATTGTGTTGGCAGGACTTGCCCAACACCTCCCTTGTTAAACCATTTAGGAACGTAATCTACATTCCTAGATATAGGCCCCGAGGTCTATTCCCTTATTGGCCATTTATTTCATAGCTGGACACCAAGATCTAGCTATCACAACATCAAGGTCCAACAATCAAAATTCATTATTTGGCTACACAGGTCCAATCAGGACTTAGCTACTTACCCTAGCACAGACTCCCCCTTTTCTCCTTAAAAACCACTCTTGCAGACACATGCTGCGGCCTTTTTCAGATCCAGAGTCAGCCCCTCTTCCCTGACTTGTTCCCTCTGGGGTAACCCATTTCCTTTTTGCTGGGAATTTCTGGGTGTGTCCTATGTCGATTCTAAGACCCTTCCAACCACTCCATGTTCACTGTTGATTAGAGTGTACCTGAAGTCAGGATCTTAGAAGGAGTCAGATCTGGGAACTTTGTTCTTAGAGAGGGCTGACCTCTGAGAAGTAGATCCATTCTGTACATCTCAAATAAGCCATGGTATTCAGATATTCACTCAGCAGACACAATGGCTAAGCATGAAGTTGGGGACTGTCAGACCAGGCCGTGTGTGTGTGTGTGTGTGTGTGTGTGTGTGTGTGTGTGTGTGTGTATGCGCGCAGCCGGTTCCCAGAGCCCTGCCGCACCTCAGTGCACACCGGCCTTTCTTGCCACACAGTGTGAATCACATGTTTCACTGCTCATCACCTGACATCTTGCACATGTCAGCAGGGAGGTGGAAGCGGGAGCCAACAATGCAGGCCGACTTCCCTTTCCACTCTTCTTCCAGCACTCTCTTCAGGGACTGTTAGTGGCTTGTATTACAGAGTCTGGACTCTTCAAAGAGGAAACAAGGTTTACGTGTGTCAGGACATGAATGGTCTTGGGGTGTCAGTCCTGGAGGTGTATGAGCAGGGTAGATAGGCGGAGGCAGACTTTAGGAAGTGATAGAATGGTCTCCCGGAAAGATTTCATTTGATTTGTCCCTGCTTCTCTCTTCAATTTCCTTCTGTTCAGCCCAGTTATCTCCTGGCTTCCTGGGGTTCCATCTCAGCCAGCCCTGCAGCAATGGCCCTCACTGGAAGGGCGCCAACATCTTCCAGTAGGATGCTTCCATTTGGTGGCATGGTTTTACAGGTAAGAAAGGCCCCTTCCTTTGTGCTATGCATAGCTGTCTGCTTGCTCACTCTGTGAGGCCAGTGGCACCCTGCTGGGTAAAAAAAAAATGGAGCTTAGGGCCTGTAACCTAAAGCCACATTTGATAAATGAGTGACAAAGTCTGAATCAAAGGCAAATGAGAGAGATGGGCATTTGGGTTTTCTTGCAATGAGGCTACTCACTGCATTCTTTGGCAGGTATGTCTTGTGTTTGTTTGTTTGTTTGTTTGTGGATCTATTTAGTGATTGTAGCCAACACCCACACAAAGAAGGCTGACCGTTGGGAAGCTCTGGACTTATGTTTCAGCACAGTTAATCTCTATGCTATCCTAATTCTCTTTAGCTGTTTGGAGCAGCTGTGGAACACACTCCAAGCATAGGGAGAGGGGTTTGCTGCCAAGCGGCTCCAGAGGCCTCTGCAAACCACAATCACTGAAGATGTTTCCCAGAAGGCTTTAGGAGTACAAATCTCTTTAATTAAAATGGGAAAAGCCATCATGAATGAAGTGAGAGGGAGTTGGCTGAGAGGGGAGGGGCCAGGGAATGAAGAGAAGAAATAAATATTTCACAAGTGTTTCCAAACACTGACTGTCCAACACCCAGTGGAAAACGCCACTTGATGGATGATATTTTGGGTTGGAAAGTGAGGCTAATTCAATGTAATGAGAGGTGAATGGGACTTCAGGCCCTTATCCAGCCACAGGAGACCCCTTACAAAAGAGCCTGCTCTTGCAGTCATTAATTTTTTATGAAGTTTAATAGGCCTGAGCCTAGAGACCTTCTGTGGTGTTGATTAGCTTCATATTTCTCTCATTAATGTAGAATCTGATTAGCTCTTATAAAAAGCATTTCATCTCGGGTCTACACGTGGCAGCTACATTGTTCCATGTTAGGAATTGTGGTTTGATTCACTCGAGGGAAGAAACATCCTCTGGGTTGAATGCAGTGGCCTCTCTGCCGCAAGAGAAGTCACAGGAGACCAGCTGTGGCTGGAGTTTTGCTGACTGGGAAGCCACTCTGTGCAGTTGGACTGTGGTAACTTGACTGGAGGACAACAGAGCCAATGCCTGGCAAAGATGACGGAGCAAGCATCAGCTAGAATACCAGTTAGGCCTGGATCCGAGAAGCCAAAACACTGCATGATGCGAACCAAGGGTATTTTTATAGAGATGAGTTCCTATGTCACTGTTCAAGCTGGCAGGAACTGCTTGCTGCCTGGCTTTTGATGTCAGCTATGAAGTTGTTTCAGGCCAGCCAGAGCAGCAGATACAAAAGAAAGCTGGCTGTGGATGAGAGGAGAGGGAAGCTGGGACATTCAGAGCAAGTATGAACCCATGAGAACAGCTTCTTCTGTTTGTTACTACTGTTAAGGCCGCAGAGGAATGACTATCTCCCTTTGCCATATCTTTATCTTTCAGACGAAAGCTGATGAAGGAGATCTATGGCTTCTCAGCGGATCAGAGCAATGTTGAGAGATTACCACAGTGAGGGTTACTATAGCGAAGGGGCCACCAACACTATGAATGGGCCACCATGGTGGGGAGCCACTCCAGGAAGGGGCCATCATGGCTTAAACTGCAAAGAATGAACATAGCTGCTCCCTTATTTCTGCCTTCCAAATCTTGGGATGCTTGAGGATCACACTTGCAGGGAAATGGATCCTGGAAAGTTGCCCAGAATGGTTTACTTGGCACAACACACAGCCAGTCCTGGGTAAAACATCAACTAGGATGGGATAATACCTGTGGTGCCCCATGGTGTACAGGGAGAGGACTCATGAGAAGGAGTTTCCGGAGGATGCAGTCTTCTGGAGAATTTAGGCTCAAATTTTTCTTCTGCCAGTCAAGCTCATGAGGTCCCCCCAAAAATGTCCAGGGCCAGAGAACTTTAACCCAAAACAACAAAAACAGCAGGGACACCAGGAGTCAGAAACCCATCCGTATGTTCTCTTCCAAGTCGGTCTTGTTTATTCCCTGCAACCTTCGTCCATCCAGAGAACAGCTTCATGGAGGAACAGGAGGTGTTTGGCCATCCCTGCCTCCCTTCAGCTTTCCACTGTCCCTGCTCCCATTCAGCAAGTGCCTGCCATGGGTCAGCCTACGCCTACTCATTGCTAAGCCAGCACCATCCCCTGACTGTCTCCCTTTCGCATATATAAGGTTTCCTTATTCCCTCTGCTTCATTAGTTTTTCCCTTGCTAGTTGATCTTTGTCACAAGCTTACAAACAGGCTATTACTATCTATCCCAAGCAGAGTGAAACCTTCTTTGCTGTGGACTCTATCTGTGATGGATACTAAGGACATTCATTCAACTTTACTGTCTTCTAACTGTGGAATTGATTGACAGCATACTCCTGGTGAAATTCAACATTCTTTTGTTCTTTGATTTTTCTAAAAATTGACAGCTTGATCTAGCTGGTGTCTGATCCCTCACTGAGACTAGATGAGGTGAAGTTTCTTCTTCTTTTTTTTTCTCCCCAGCAGGCAGCATGTGTTATCTATTTGTATCGTTTTTGGTAATGCTAGAAACTACTGATGTTCAAAGTCAAATACATGGATTCTTTAGGGAAAGATGGAAGGAAACCCATAGATTGGAAGAGATTTTAAAAAGCACAGTATTTTTAAGCTGGTAAACCTGAAATACAGTGGCTGGAAATATATACCTGATTGGTAAAATAATAAACATGAGGGTGATTAATTAAAATATCAGGACAATGCATGTGAAATGGGATGAGTCAGAGAGACTGTGGGATGGATAATATAGCATTCATTCACCCTACTAGAACTCGATAAGCCATATGTTTTTGTTGGGCTTCTATGTTTTCCTTTTATTTTAGAGTAAACAGTCTCTACTAACATGATGCCTGTTCTCTGTCAAACTAAACACAACCAGGTCTTCACCTCTCGCGCCCCACCCCCCCCCAGCCTGCCCAGTCGCTGGACCTGTCTGTCAATCAACTTGCAATTGTTAGACCTGTACTCCTGTCTCAGCCTCCTGTCACCCACCCCAGCTCTTGACACAGTTACTCAGTTCTTTCCATGTAAGCTGCTTTCCCCACTAACGACTGTCACCTCATTAATTTTGTTGATGTCCCTCTGGAATCACCTTTTCCTCTGTGTCCTCATCATCTTGGAAATCATATGGCCCCATTCCTTAGCATCTTTACCTTGATGCTATATTCCTTTGGTGATCTTACACAGTGGCAGTGACTTTAAACGATACCTGTATACCGACAGGAACTATCAGTTACCTCAAGTGGAACATTATACTAGAATACCCAAAAGCCTGCCTGCTCAACAGCCTCACCTGTGTGGCTAATAGAAACTCATTTAAGAGATCACCAAACCAAGTGCATATTCTCATAGGAGTCTGTCAAAGCTGTTTCTCTCACTCCCTGCTCATGACATCTTCATGCTTCCAGTTACCCAGGAAAACCTCTTAGCATCATGAAAGACTTCTCCTTGCTCTTTTATTCCTCGTCTCATCTAGAAGCAAGTCTTTCTGGTAGATCCAGCTCCTGCTTCTCATCTGCTACAGCCACCTATCTCTCACCCACATCGGGTACTTGACATCCTTCTTTCCTCCTCATGCCCCTGCACACAGGCTACTCTAATGACACTGGCCAAAAGAAGGCTCTTAAAATCAGAAATTAGTGTGTCCTCTCGATTCACTTTCTGCCTGTGGTGCAGAAGGAGTCACAGATCTTCCTTTCCATGTCACTCCTCTGATTGGGGGATGTCCTTCTGTATATATGTTCCTCTCATTGGTTGATGAATAAAACGCCGATTGGTGGGTAACCAGACAGGGAGACAGTCAGGTCTAGGGGACGAGGAGAATGCTGGGGGGAGAGGCAGAGAGGCTGAGAGGAGCAGCCATGTAGAGACTGGGAAGACAGGACATGCCAGGTGTTCTCTGGTAACCTAAGGCCATGTAGAAATTCATAGATTAGTAGGTATGGGTTAATAATCAAGAACGAGCTAGCCAGTAAGAAGCCCTAGCCATCAGCCAACAATTTTATAATTAATATGTCATTTATGTGTTTATTTGGAGCTGAAGGGCAGTGGGACCTGGCAGGACAGAAACACCCATGTTCATTTTTTCACTCGGGTCCTGCAAGATCCCCCTCAATACCCCTGCCCCATCACCCACCTTTGTAAGGAGTGCCTAGCAGCTCACACTTCTTGAACAGGCCCAGCACATTCCCCCTGAGGATCCTGGCTATCCTCTGCCCCTCTGCCAGAAGGACTCTTCCTCCGATGTCCGCATGCCCCATTTTCAAACTTTTAAGTTTTTGAGTGCTGCGCTCCTCTCAGTGAGCTGCCTTTTATATAAATCTTTATGTTCCGCAGAGCGTCCGAAACCAGGCCCGTCACTTTTGTGACGTTTGTAGGTTATCTTCCAACATAGGGAATCGTTTTACTAAGTCGCTGCACCGAGGGAGTGGCACCCTTCTCGCCATGCAGATAGGCCCAGCAGTGGCGGAGCTAATAATAGAGCTAATGTGTCTTTTATTCTCTGCTCATCCCCACGTGGTGCATCCCACCTAACGTACAACTGAAATGTGTAGGAAGCAACCTACTCGTCTTGGATTTCGTTTCTTTTCTTCTCCAGACTGTCAGGAAACAAAAGAATAGTCTTTATCTCGGATTTCTAAGAACTGATGCAAAAAAAGAAAAATAATAGATTCTACCACTTATATGTATGTAACCGACATGTTGTTTCTCTAATGGCTTGGTCTGTGATCTCTCAGCTTGCTCTTTCTGTTAAGACAAGCACACATTTAATGAGCGCTGCGCCCGTTTGAGTTCCCACAGAAGTGTGTCTAAGAAGGCAAATTGGACATTGTGATTGGAGACTGTGTGTCCCCCCCCACCACCTCAGGACTCATACTAACATATTATTAGTGAACAATGTTATTTAATTGCTAGTTATGCTTTTATTGTTTTACTTTTGACAGGTATGTAGTCCTGGCTGGCCTG